TTGTTCAGCCCTGTTGCTTGCTGTGTACATTGACTGAGGTTCGAATGTATGATAACTAAGGATCCAATTGATAATAGCAGCAAACTCTAACCACTGCGTCGAGCGTTACTGCTAGCGCTCAACAACCTAGCAATCATGGCACCATTGTTCTGTGTTCCTCTACACTCGCTGTATCTGAGCTGTTCGACCATGACAAAGCAGATCTTGAAGCACGGACTTGAAAGCGAGCAACACCGAAACTCTTGCCTTAGGAGGCGTTCATAGTCATCGTGGTTCACAGATATACTTCGATCTGTATCCTAGTCACAGATGGCTTTGCGACACGCAATTTAAAGCTAGACGGTGGGTACTCCAAAACTAAAGTTGAAAAGGGATAAACACTAAAATGTTGTTGTTTAGAATGGTGTATCATGATACACATATGCTGTCAGAGAACCTTAAGTATATGGGCATAGGTGGTTTTCAAATTAAGTTCATCTTCTAAATAGACGGTTTCTCAGTTGCAAATATTCGACACGCTACTTTGATTCCACCAGATGTAGTTTAACAAATTTAACTCTACTTGATCTTCGCAACCGAGTTTGTACTTAAGTGCTTGTGTTTAAATAACAATTCCCGGTGGTTTGAAGTTTGCTGTTTCCGTGTGTGATTATTACATTACCTCCGATTTCTGTCATGCACAGATTTCATACCTGATTTACCAAGAAAACCGTATTAGCTTATCTATAACAACATTTAGGTATTGCTCGTCTATCGCATTTTGGTATGTGGTAATATGACAGAAGAGTTAGCGGACCCGAAGCGTTAATAATTGAGATTTTACCAGTTAAAAAGAAACATTCATCTAGGAATTATTATAGGCGCCATAAGGACACAGATACTATATATATATATATATATATATATATATATATATATATATATCATTCATTAGAATGATTAACTACTGAGTTGGTGCAATGTGGTATATTTATTGCACCTGCATAGAACGGATAAGCCACAAGTAACCTAACGTTTTTAGGCTTATTTAACTCGGTTGTATATCGCGATGACTTCATGTGTTGCCCATTACGATATTGTACTCATCATGATCTATGCTATGCTATTCTTGCTACCTCCTCAAGCGGCGTCTAGTAAAGTTACATACCGAAAGTGAGCTATGACATCTTCATTTTCGTATTATTATTCGGCCGCGATTCAAATCACTATGTCAGCTCCATGGTATTGCTCACCATAACTGTAGCTTGACTAGCTGCTCAATGCTAACTTGCCTGATGCTTAGAGAGCCGGTGCATCGCAGAATAATGGTTCAGTCCATCCATGAGCTTATTCGTAATTGATGTGAGTGAGGTATTTCCGAGCGATTTGTGTGCTTACTACGGATCAATGCTAGGGTGGCAAATTATTGTGTATGTTTCCAGTTCGATGGATACGTTTGAATTAAAAGGTTATCATTGCTTGGCCGTTTACAGTACGCATAAAATGTTAAATTTCACATTTGTAACACAATGCTCAACGATTGTCCTTCGTGTGATCACTTTGGATTATGCATTCGAAGAGAAATTTCCCTGGAAAATCTGTGTCAAGTGAACAATCCCGGCAATTAACCGACTAGCGATTATCACGATGTTGCCATTCCATGTTCCACTCCGCAGGCTAGTGAAGAGAGTGAGTATAGTTATAGTTCCAGTTATCCCTCAGCCATACTGAATTTACCGGGGCCTATGAAAACACACTTATTAACCGGATGGAAGGCAGACGTGCAGAGACGCCTACCAGAATTTGCATTGCACCTGGCCAATCTTTTGAATGGATTAAGTAAAAGGCTGCATCTAACGGGAATGGTACGTCAATGTGTTATTATATAACAACGGAAATGAATCGGCGCATAGCGGCAATGGTTTTATGAGTACCGAATGGGCTGCACCTGGAACGTACAATATAGACCGTTAGCAAATGGCTTATGGCCACAGTAGAGTACAGGTCGGTAGGTGTAACCGGTAAAGTACTTGGACATTTGCACAATAAATGTGAACACTGTTTGGAAAGTCGCGTGTTTGACAGTGGGAAGCGGGACTAAGTTGATGTCATTTGTCATTACCAAAGGTTGCGCATCAATCGTTCTTTGAGTAGGTGCACATGCCTCGGGCAGCACATGACCGAACCGGTCGGAGACACAGAGAGCCAGAAGTGGTCACTGTATCGCATTCGCATGTTGTGTGATCTCCCACATCAGCTACTCAAACCAGACTGTACATGTAGAGGGCAACACGTAAATGCACACTATTTCACTGTACCAGTAGTCTAGTCATCATTCTACCTAGCAATTGCTTTACTATTGTCACATCGGATTCCTTCAAATATGGATGCCCAAGATTTAAGGCTGTCACGTCTAAAGGTAGAAGAAAACATCAACAGTTCGTACTGGGTAGTTATTCTCAAACCTGCGAAAGTGGTTGTTAGCCTGACCTCCAAACGAAGCCCATACACGTTTATCATACCATTGATGATGATGTCTAATGTGCCTCTATGCAGTTGGTAACAGCTCACACTTAAGTTTGGATAAACGCATGTACATATGTTGCATTCGAACTGCCATTGGACACAGATGACGCCAATCTATGTAACTATATGTATACCGAATGAATTCCACGAGCATCTTCATACCGCTTTTGTACGGTTAACTTAGTGCAGTAGAAAGACATTCGAGCAAACCGAAAATAATATACCAGAACCTGAAGAAGGTAAGTTTATGACAGACTCATGTTGATTTCAGGTGTTGCGAATCTAAGGCAAATTTGCTCCATGCGAATTCCGTGAAATGCTCAAAAGGGCGGTTTCTCAGGTGCCAGAGAAGGCACTATAGTATGTGGAATAGAAGCACCATGAGTATGTTTCCATTCAATTTACTAATCCAGGCCAATAAGGCGGCGTATGTGGGACGTTTGCCTGCGTGATGAGTAATCTTGCTTTCAGAAGTAGATGTTGCTTGGCACCCGTGTGATGCGCTGATGTGAATGTTGACAAGGTGCCTACCTGTCTATTACTCACTACCTCGTCCAGACTGGCTCCAGGAGACAGTTGGTCGTCGCTGGAGGGGACGAAGTGCACCGTTCTCGTGACGGTGCTAGGCTCAAAGAGTGGTTCCATGCAACCTGTGTGGAACGGGCTACGGTCCAGCCACCGCCTCGTGTACGTCTGGTGTGTATGATTTCCCAATTAGGCCGGAATGCTTCCGTTCTGCTTGTTGATGGAGTGTGGGCCGGCTCCGTTGATGAAACGTGGTTCCCATCCATATGCCTCCCGGTCTTATTCCTTCGGGTTTACACCGGATATGGGGTGTGTGGATGGAACTGTGGGTGGTGCAGCGCAAGCCACCCATGGTCCCCTTTGTAGGCGCAGGCGTCCTGTGACTGTCCCCATGGAGATCACAGTGACAGGCAAATCCGGATACGAACGCCGCCAAATCATATATATATATATATATATATATATATATATAATGCGAGTTGCGTGTTCAAGCATGAAAGGGCATCAAGATTTCATCAGGGATGTATGAAGATAACGCGTATAGCTGGGTTTGCATATCTGCAGCCTGTACCCTTCAACCGGCCTCGTCCTGGTATGAAATCTTGCGATAAAGGTACTTGGAGCTGCGTAGTTACACCATCCAATTCCAAAAGTGTATACTGGAACACTGCGCAAGTCTGGGGCTAGCTACCAACTTTTGGACGCGTATTTACTACTTATAAGTGGGAAGCGAATCAGCTGGAAACTGGGATCAAAAAATTTATTCATTATTCTTAGGTCTCGCAGTTCGAGGGGTCTCCTTGTTTTTGTACACAGTAACCTGTGATGAGAAGCAGGTTTACGCCCAACGATAGTAAAACATGGTGTGTGTTGTGAATGTAGCAAACACACCTGTAGTTTATCATATATTGTAGCATACATATACTGGACCACTATTAGGGTAGGAAATGAAGGAAACTCACTGCACCTTCCCTGCTTATTTTGCGAAACGTTTTCACCTCATTCCTTAACGCCACGGAATAGCCTGGTATAAAATCTGTCCGGCTGGTCATCGCATAAATTGCGCCCATTTCCCAAACCAAGTGACAAAGAACTCTTAAATCCAGGTTACGTTCTTACGATTACAAGTACTTCTACCCACAGAAGGTAAAAACGGTTACAGAGACAAAGACTAATACAAGTTTGATTACTTAATATTTACCTTGGTTTTTGTAAGGGATTTAATCAGCCTTATCCCATTTGTTTACTCAAATCACCAGCTTTTTAAAACTTATACAGTATGCGTCTCGGAAGCTAAACTAGTGAATGCACACTAACTCAAGATTCCAAGAAAAGCTGGCAACTTCCAGAGTAGTTGTGCTTGTATTTTGTTGCTAGATAACACCAAAGAATTCGACATGGTTAAAGCCGCATCACGTCCAGATAACTGATCAATCTGCCATATGACCGTATTTTCCAAAGCGGAGCGGATCGTTTGCTATTCGCAGGTTAATAGAATTTTTTCCATGTGATTTGAAGATAACCGTCTCCAAACAAGGTTTGTTTGGCGCCTAACAAAATTTTCACCACACAGCGAAATATGGTCGTCGTTCTTTTGGTCATATTTATCTATATGTTCTAGTAATTCTGGCTGAGGCAACAAAGCAACGGATTTCAGACATTAGAAAACTAGAACGTTTAAAAAGTGTTTGTAGGTATAATGCCTTTTAGCTCATAAGATTAGTAGTTGGCAATAGGTAAGTTGGAGTTGCTTAGCATTGCCTCACTTTTCAGGCAGAAAGACTACCCGCAAGAGCCAGAACTTATTCAAGTTTGCTTAGGTTGTATGGTTACAAAATGTCGTTGAAACAGGGCAGCACCTGACAGAAGACAAGTTTTCGATTGTTACGAGTTAAGCTTCAAGCAGTCGGAGTTGTGATACAAATTCGTGTGTATAGATCAACGTTTTCTTTCCTCTTTTAGCCTGTGGAATGTTGAAAAGCGCAGTGCGTCTCTTGATTCTGGCTTTATCTATTCTACTTTTCTGTCAAAACACTCCAAGTGCAAGCCCAACCAACTTAGATACGCGTTATTCAAAGCTACTGAGGCTCTTTTTGGAGTCGGTTCCCGACAACAGGTTGGAAGAACTGGACCAGTATGAAAATGGTTGGTTTAATTTTGTTGTCATGCTATTCAAAGCTAGGTTAAGGGCGCACTATTTCGTACTGCTATAAATTATTTTAAGAATTAGTTTGTGTGTTATAAACTAAGTAGATGACTTGAGAACCAATCCGAACGAAAGACGGTGCATAACCATGTTCTTCTTTGCTTTGAGATCCCTTTGAATTCTTTACGAATGTCTTCTCAAACACCACTGACGTCTCTCTTTTTAACTGAGCGAAACAAACTTTTAGGTGGCCATAGTTCGGGGGAGACGTGTTGTTGGACCATTTAGTCAGCCAGTCATTGTACACGCCAGCAACCATTTAATGACCGTTTTCTCCTGTTCTAAATTTCAACAGTGCGCAACATGTTTGAAGTATAAGTGCTACCACCCAATAACTTTCACCAAACAAGGCAAAGACTTGGGCAACTTTGATCTGCGCATTATCGGTGGACTTCAATGGATGATCACTAGCAGCTGTAAAACACTATGTCTGGTCCTCTAGTACCGCATGAATGATTGCAGAAGACAAGAGTAACCTCAAACATACACTATTTATCTTTCAGCGGCCAGACCCCTCGTAGCATTATAATTTTATTTGGCCCCTTTGCATTTTGGCAAAATGTGTATCTTAATCATTTTACTTTACGATCTTGGGTGAACCCCACAGTTCAATCCTATGTTAAGTGAGATGTCAAACAGCGACACAATATTCTTGCGACGTGCAACATCATAAACTTTAAGTACTTGTGTAATCAATTCGACTGTGACATTAGTTCCCCAATGCAACCGTGGTTAGCTGTAGTGCATGATACCAACTAACATCACGTCTACAGTAGATCAGACCGTCAACAATGCCACAAAGTCACTGCGACTCTATCATGCATACAGTTTCCAGTAGCGAAAGTTGTGGTGGGTCCATTGCACCTGGGAATTATAATTCTAACAAAATCAACTCTTCCGGTCAGTCGTCCCAATAAGTTGACCTAACAGCAACAGCTGAGTAGCGCATCGTCTCGTGTAACGCTAATTTACCAGGGAACAAAGTGTTGTCTAGCGAAGATATTTTCCTTCCATATGTCGCAGACTTGCGGAGTAGAGAAAGCCGACTATAAATTAGTAGATACACATTGAAAGGATTTCTTCACCAGAGTTTAAGACGTTGACAAAGTAATTTATTAAGTGACAAGGTAGGTCTCATGCCCAGTGCTTGTCTATGTAGAAGAGCAATTTTGCTAAGCATAATTTCTTTAGGACATTGCTTCTGCAATTTACGCAAACAGTAAACATTTCCTTAAAGATTTTATTTCGGATTTAGAATAAGAGCTACTAGCACTTTTGAATATAACGGACGCGTCTAAAAAGCATGCTTGCTGCCGAGCTCCTCTGTTAGATACAAGTACCTTTCGTATTACTGGAATCAAATTGCCAGAGTCCGTGATAGAAACAATAAGTGTATCCCTCCGTTGATGACTAAATATCTGCACTCCTCAACTGAGCCTCCAATAGATGAGAAATTTTCCCTATTACCAATAAGGTGTCAAGTAATCAGAGTATCTTCCGGCTGGATTAAACTGGTAAATTCTTCCCATGCCATTCACGCGAATTCCGTGTGGCAAACAAGCATATAGGCAACATTTCACCGTGATGTTAAGTATAGTGTTTTCATGCGAAACTCCTGAACGGTAAATGACAGGAGCCAAAATGCTACTAGCCTTGCGAAACTGGCAGGAGGTTACATTAATGTAGGAGAAGATGTAACAGAGATAGATAATCAACCAAGGTCTTACAGTAATTGGATAAACGCTAGATACTATCGGCTTTAATTCTTGCTTTCTACGACCGACTTATTTGCCGCTTTGTCCGATCAGTTCACAAGCCAGATAGTCGAGCCTCCAATCGTTTCGCTCTATCGGACCTCGTCAATGGTGCATATTTCTTCGGTCCCCACAAGAAATAAAACCCAACGACTGCTAACAGTTTGCGTCAACTAGCTTATGCCGCTGAGCTATGGGAAACGGTGACCTACATAACTTGCGAGCTAAGAGTGATATATAGCAATCTATCGTTCATGTCATTTACCACCATTGTAGAGAAAAGTGGTTTGTCTCCACAGGTCATGACTTCCACCACACAGCAGCTATGTACGCATAGCATTTGAAGAGTATGAGGACGAAATTTCTATTTTGGTTGTGTGGCTCAATGGTGGCTCATGGGTTCGCTTCTCTGTAGGGGAGGGAGAGAATGCACGCAACTGAACAGCCCTACTAGAGCGAAAGGAATGTTTGATGCTTTCGGATTGAAGAGTTGGACTTCCTGGCATGTGAGGTGCTGAGGAGTTAGTAAAACTGCATCAGACATTCTCCTACGCAGTAAGTATTGCGTATTTGTTTGCGCCCATCAAATAGACAGTAGAAATGGGATTCGATCGACGAATTTGGAACCTGCTTTCTTGCGCCTACCCCGTTACGATAGCAAACTTCTTGGTTAGCGAGAATCACAACGGTCAGACTTCGATTTACTTCTGGAGTACTCGTGGTGTAATTATACCACAACAAATGGCAGAACAATTCCTTTCGAAGTGACGCACACAACTGGTAGTCCACAACAACGAAAACTTGACCCTTGTCAAAAACGTTTCCGTGTTGGTGTGAGTGTGTCAATCGGCAACTCACGAACAGAGATAGGTTCTGCTCCTATCTCGCTTGATTTTACTAGACTGTGCTAATAAGTGTGAAATATGTCCTGCAGTGTTGAGTTTCAAGCGATAATTCACGCATTAATCCATCCTCTCAATGAATTCTCTAAAGCGAACCAACAACCAGACCTTGGAAAGTGCTCACGTAAACACAGATGGATTCACTTAGGTGCTTCTGTCAGTGCTAGTATGTAGTATATTGGATTGAAGCAGGTCCCTTCCAATCTGTCGCACATGTGGAAGTATTTAATGAAACTTTTTTAAGGAACAAACTGCCCGAGGATGCATAACATTATAAATAGCAAAGCACATTTTTCCTAATGACATAGATAGCATGAAAAGTGAAGCAATGTTACTTTTGTTACATCATCCGCTTTTCAAATAATGTGGAATGCATTCTTGAGCTGAACGGAAACTATTCGTCTTTTGTGCTTGCTTACTGTTGCCAGCGGTTGTTAGAAAACCTGTAAACAGGAAAAATTTTTAAATCAGATGCCATAGGCTTTAGTCCATTAACATTTGCTGTATTTAGTGTTGCTGAATTTTATGGTGTCGTGATTAGCTAAATATACACTGAAGCATTCGAGGTAAGTTCCGTACTCGCGGCATCTGGTCACATTTTTAAGATTGTTGCTTACGTACTAAAAACAGTTCAAGAAGTTGCGATCAGTTGTTTAGAGTTGGGTGGTTCTTACGCCATGAAAAATCGTGAAGTAAAATTTATCTTGCATCTTTGTTACATCTGAGGTACCGCTAATTCCCCAAAAAGCTTGGTTATTTATATGAAAGCAACTATGGTGATCACAGTTAGAATTCATCCTCCGACTTTTAGTACATTCTGATAAACTGTTACAGCAAAGCACCAGTGAAACAGAGCTAAAAATCAAGTCCAGTATCTACTGTGGTTGTCGCCGTGGAGGCCATAGTGACAGGCAAATTCGGATCTGAACAGCGCAGACCATATATATATATATATATATATATATATATATATATATATATATATATATATATATATATATATATATATAGTTGACAAACGCCTGCTTAGGGACGCAGTACTAAGGAAGTAAGGAAGTGCAAATATAACTTCAGTTGTGTTAGAACTCTCCTGCAGAAATGGCAGGTCTTCAAACCTAAGCATCCCTATGTCGACGAATAGAGAGGTTTTTACTCAGATGGATCGCCTCCCTTTTGAAAGCAGCGATAAATTGTACCCGAGAAATTTTAGCTTAGAAGAGCATCGTAGGCTGCGGCATAATCATTGTTCTCCGTAATTTCTTAGACTAACTGGACGCATTCTTCGGACCATGAAACCACTCGGGGTCGGAGGCCAACATATTTTCAGCATTTACTAGTTAGTTCTCTCGGAATTGTTAAGCCTGCAAACTGGCGTTGCATAGCTTGCGTAACGTTAACAAGTTTATCTTCATACCCAGTGTTGAGCGTCAACCTAAAGAGGAAAGCCCGGAATGGATGCGTAGCTAATTTGATATAGTTGCAGAAGCCACACTATCTCTTTTGGCTTCCCTTTCCAATAAGTGCAGTTGAGTTGGCATAATGGTGGATGGACAGCGTAGCGGTGCAGATGTAAGTAATACGGCGGTGTAATTCACGTCGTTCACCGGATTTACACTCATGTTATTTACTTCATCTTGCGCATCGAACGTACACATGGTGATAGCAACGAAGAACTTTGATTTTTAATGGTTACAATAGATTACAACCGACCACCATCAGCAACCGTTAGCAATCTACTAGAAAATGTGGGAACTCTCTTAGCTTTCAAATCCTGCGGGTCTAACTCGATGTGTCAATCCGCTTTCAACATCATGTTTAAGACAGGTATGGTTAATTAGATAAAGAGGTACGGTGTGTGCAATGGTCACTTTACAGTGGTACCCTTAACAAAGCTCTCTAAGCTGTTCTTGATTAAAAGGACGTAACCACCTATCCTGGGATTCGGATAGCCAATTTCTAGCATAGAAAAATAAGACGTCTCATAGATGAGTATCATTATTTTCCTAGCTTATTCGATCTTTGAATAAATGCGGTAAATGATTTCTAAAAAGCATGGGGAGAAAAGTTTCTTAATGTGAATCACACCCTCAAATGTAGTTGGTTCCTGATCATTCTTCAATAAATTGTTACCTTATCCACCGATTTTCTTGAGGTAACTGAATGCACAAATGTGTCTAATTCGTTACAAATCCGATCATAAGGAACTGTTACCACCTATGCTGCATTGCCACTGTTTTGCGCATTAAGAAAATAAACCGAGTTCCAAGGCAGAGTATAAATACCTTTGCTTGCTAAATAGCCGCCCTAAGCTTAGCGCATTGTAGCTACCGTTCCGTTTCGCTTGGATTACCCACAGAACCCCAAAAAGCCATGGTGTAAACGAGTACTTTATGTGATATTACTGTCTAAACCACGAAGTTAAAGAACAAAATCACTTTATTTTAGACAAGTACTGTGTTGTTTCTTTTGCTCTCTATAGATTTTGGACCGGGAGCTAAGTCCGCATATGTAGATGTGGAACGAAGAAGGTTTACGCGACCGCAAGGACGCTAGAATCGGTGGAATGCTTGCGAAATACGTTACACGCCATGTCAATCAGTATTGCGTAGACTTACGGATCCTCGCTTTTCGTCATCTTTGCTGTACTACTCTATGCTGCCGAATGTATCTTATTTACGAATAAAGCAATCTGTTCCCTCAACTCAAGGTCCTCCTCCGTTTACGTGACTTCCTGTTCCAATTCAATAACAAACTTCCACCAATGATGAAATTGAACGAAAATTCGCAGACTAACATGTAAAGCTTTATGCAGGTCTGTTATTATAATAAAGATAATATCATCCGACGTCCATATAGAAAATGTTTCGACGAAGGTCATATCGGATCAATTTATGTTTTGCAGGCCAAACGATAGAACTAATAAATGTCAGTCTTAAAGACGGCTGGCAATCGAATGACAAATCTGAAGCTGGGGACAGTCGAACAAAGCGGACTGTATTCTAAGGGCTGCAAGAACAAGTTAATAAAAGAATCCATCAGACGGGAGTTTCAGCAAACCACCTTACCGAGTAGACGACTGGTAAGGCTGGAGTAACTGAATATCGACGATTATGATGTATCAAGAACAAAAGACCGAAGGTAAACAATTGCTTTCGATGATTCATCTTCAGACCTGTACAATCATATGGGTGAAATAGCAGTAGGCGTACAAGTGGATTAACGATCAGTTCAAAGGAGATTGATCACGTGTCGACCAAAGACATGAACCAGTAACAAACAGTAAACTAGGACAGAGGTACAGTTGCACAATTGCAGTTGCTCTCAGAAGGATCCGTTTTGGCTGGTCAAAGTAGCTTAACAGCTTCGATCAGCTTCTTTTGTGCACACAAAGCGGTTGTTACAACCGAATGCTAATCGCCTCGGCAGTAGCAAGGGTGCGGAGGCGCAGGCCTTTCGACTGGAGTGGAGGGACCCTGTATAGTATTCGAAAGGCACTGACTGGGTCAACCTCATGCCCACTATCAACAAGATGAGCCATAACTGAGCTAGTTATAGTTATAGTTGTAGTAATAAAAGAACAAATTATTTAAGTTCGAGCTTTAATTAAAATTTGAGTAAGAACTAAGCATTGCTTTTAAAATCGCAACAGACTCAGACAAGTCTGACATGTGAGCAAAATCCAGGAGCTAAACAGTACTTACTTTTGGCAAATTAAAAACAAACAGGATTCTTACATTCCAAATTGCATGAACTGACATATTTCAGAAACATTTTATGGCGTATATATTACTAGGCATGTTAGAAATATTAGTTGTTGTTAGGATTATTATGCGACAGTCGCTTTATCCCATTTGGATTGCTCGTTACATATCTAAGCTTGAATACTTGACCTTAATTTGACCGGGGACTTGGTATGCTTGAGACACTAAAAAGGTGAATCAATGGAACGATATAACTTGTGTTACTAACATTCATCTGTTGTCTAACATAAAGAAACATAAATTTAATGCCCAACGGGTAGATATGTGACTCCCCAAAAAAATAATCAGTGTGAAATGTACAAAATTAAGGAGTTGAGCTTGGCTTGTACAGATAAACCATGAATGAATGAACTGAATGACTCTCAGAGCTGATTGCAACCTATAGATATTGAAATTAGATGAGTGGTTTTTAGTTATAAAATCTACCAGTTTCCTGGACCGTACAATTCTCTATGCGAAGAGTCGTTATTTGTAGTAAAACCAATAATTCTCTCTCTACTAACAGCCAGTAAAAGTACATAGCAGCATTGCAAAAATGGAACTAATGGTCAGCCTAACTGCAAGATGTTAAGTAGCAAGCGATCATATCTTGAGCACAGGAATCTTTGTCTGTTTACTGTAGGAATAATCTTTAATGTACTAGAAGAGCGGACTACCTCTGACGCCACATGGGGTAGTTACAGTCCAAACTATTGCAGCCAGTTCAAGGCGGCCTCTACGCAAACACTTAATGGAGTACAATAATGAAAGTAACAACTTATCAACATTATTTAAATTAGTTTAGGTTAAGAAAACCAGACGCTCTCAAGTTCTCCCCTGCTGAACTCGACCAAAATTTTCAAAAGTACTTTGGTTTCACTGTGTAGGTTGGTTACGTATCATCGTGACAAATGAATTGGTCAAGAATCGTTCCGTTTACTGGACCATGGTCTGCTTGAAGCGAATGAGACTTGGTACCTTTGAAATGAAGCCGCACATCAGTATTCATACGCCTGGATGAACCTCACAGCCCACCGTGGTTGTGAGAACCGGATGAAACGTGTTTCAATTTTTCAAGTAGCTGCCGACAATCACATACCTTAACTTCTGTGTAGAGAGTCAACCCAGCACCAACCACAGCGAGGTTGCAGTGAATCAGTTGTTAAACATAGGAATGGTCATTTATTGCAAGCTTGATATGCACATGAGTGTATATCTGATAAAAGCGTTGTCGATGAGCACGATCAAAACGTTAATCTACTTTTCTCACTTGTTATGTTAATTTCAACAGGGTGATAAATGACTTTTAAAGGATGTCCCGACTACGCTAAGAGCGATGCACAGAGCAGTGTGCCAAAACTGGATAATGTTCTGGGCGAAAAAAGTAAGCTATGCTACTGTAACGGAGGTGTTGACGATATCCCCCTCTAGTTGAATGAGATACTAATGGGATAACTTGCGTATACAATGCATGAGGGATCCTTTGCGCAGGAAACAGCGGTTGGAAACGTTCGTATCTTAATTATCTTAGAATTTGTGCAGGGCATTAGGACAGGTAATTCTCCCCTACGACATTAACCAAAATACCACTGAGATTTTACAGTCAGATGATAGAGTTCGTGTTGGGTTTAGCATACTAATTTTTTGTCCTTCAAAAAATTTAGCCGTTTCTTATATTTCTAACAATTTACTCATTCCTTCGATCGCTAACAAAACTCACGCTTGAACAGAATTTGGTCTAGTATCTTGATCACAAAGCGCAATTAGTTTACTCTCATTTTCTTGGCCCTTCATGTGCCTTTCATGTGTTCCCTGCTACTCAACCCTTTATTTTCTTTTGTACCAATTGTGCAATTAGCCAAAGTATTTCAGACATTTTCCTCTAATCGATCAAAAAACCACGTGTTTCGGGCTTTATTGCACTGCCGACTTGGCTATCTCGAACTTTAAGCATAGTCCATGTGGAAACGTCAGATTTCTAATGAGAGATAACCCAGACTCTACACAAACGAAGGTTTCCGGTCCCCATGAATGCGTGGTCATCATTATCGTTTTTGCTTGGAGAGAGGCAGTTCATACAGGTCGTTCATATTGTATCTTTTCAAGGAAGGTGAAGGGAATGTTTTCTGTTGATGGGTTCTTCGGAATTTTCACCAGTCATCACTGCATGTAATAGAAGCAAATGCATACCCCTAAATTAAGCTTGCCTCGCTTCAAGCGATAACAAATGTTTTAACAAAGATCAACTGTCGTGTGGCAATCAATCTTTGTTTGATAGTGGCGAAATCATGTTATTTATTACACACCTGCTCCACACCGGCTATTAATCAGTGGTTAGCAAAAGTTAGCTTGCGGCATCAATAGTGCAACTGTCAATTGGAGGACAATGTGTTACCCATGGATTCATTTTCGTAGGGTTTAAAGCAAAAGATGGCATGACAGGCAAGAATGAAGTAATTTAAATGAAGATTGGTTGTATTTTTCGTGTGGACTGTGCTTGGGCCGGTTGTTTGTGTGAGGCTGGGAACCCACAAAAGCAGAGTCCAACATAACCGACGTTTTGGCTGGCGTAATTCTCGAGCGATACGGAGTACGCAAGAGTGGTTAACTCTTTCTGAACACATTTTTAATGCACCCTCTTTTGCAGCGATTAGCAAGCACATGATTACCTCCATTGTTCATTGTCACGCCCGGGAGTGTTTACCTGGTATGCTTCGAGGTTAGAACCTGGTAAATATCTAATCGGGTGAAAGTGAGGCGTAACCAATTCGTAACGATGTGCTCCAGTACTGTTTTCGCACAAGCTTTTTCCCATAAGATAGAGGAATCGCGACTCTAATCCCCGGACATTCGGACAACTGTCCAAAGTTTTGCCCTTCGCCACCAAGTCCCGAGTAACGCCGTCGCAACAGGTACCGACTTGTATTGAGCCCATTCTGAATCACCCAACATGTAGTCAGTTTTTGACAACCAATAAGAACTTCAGCCGCAACTTACATTGAGGTTAATCGTGATCAGTAGGTAAAAGTCAAAACATGGCGAAAAATTAACCACTGCTACTCAGTGGTTTAGAGGTCGAGGATTCCCTTGACACCCCAAATTTCTCGGGTCCGAATCGCAGACCTACTATCACTATATGATGAATGCAAAACTGGTGGCGGAGTGCAAAGATAACAGCCGGCATTATCCAGGTTTATCAACTGCAGATGCTGGCTCAGTGACGGAATTGACAAAAGTTTACTTCAAAGCGAATGTACGTCCAGTTTACGATCGCGCTTTGCAAATCATTTGAATGCGAGTTTCAAGAAGACTCATCCAGATTTGTACTTTCTTCACGTAACAAAACATAAAAAGAGCGACTTATTCGAAGTTTCCCATTTTACTGTAGATTGTTTAGTGCAACACGTTGAATATTGCAAATGGGGTTGAAGTTTTCCTCTTTTTTGTGCTTGTTATTTTCCACCTTATAATTGCTTTCGATGTAAATTGAAGGTCTATAGGTAAACAATACTTATTGCAACTCCGTAAAGTAGATGATAATCAGTACACAAAGCCTTAAAGGAGAGCAATATGAAAAAAACGAAACGTTTTCCTAAATATAATAATGACTACATTTGTACACTTTCCCTTGTTAAGGCGTTTAATGTCCTCGGCGAGTCGTCAATAATACGATGCGACCAAGGACCAACAACAACGGCGGAGACCACATTGTGTCATCAGGCCGGATAGGCATCACAACCGATGTGCAGTTCCGATGTGAACGAGAAATCAAAGGCAAGATCAGGCACAACAGGAGTACCTGAAAATTAGTAACACCTGTCACGACGGCAGATGTTACGTGGCACATGTCGCTTAAAATGATTACACATGTAAAACACCGACATTGATCCTCAGGTTCGGGAGCCAAGCAATACTACGCCGTCAAAAGAAAGCATATTTCACCGATAACCGCGTTG